ATACACAGTAGAGCTACAAGTGGAGGGGGAAGCAGGAATGGCAGGACGAATGAAGCCAAACTACTAGAAAGGGGACTACATGGGAATGAGGAACTTCCTGCACGGGGTTCAGTGGGACAGAGAACTGGCAGGGAAGCCAGTTAATGAGATGATGGAATATGTAGCAACAATGTGCAAGGAGGCTGAGGAGAGGTTTGTACCCAAGGGTAACAGGAATAATTAAAAAGCCAGGATGAGCCCATGATTCAGCCAAAGGTGCAGGGAATGGAAGAAATATAGAAGGCAAAGGACCCAGGAGAATAAGGAGAGCAGTCGTCGAGCCAGAAATGAATATGCACAGATAAGAAGGGAGGCCCAACGATAATATGACAACGACGTAGCAGCGAAAGTCAAATCTGACCCGAAACTGTTATACAGCCACATGAGGAGGGAAACAACAGTCAAGGACCAGGTAATCAGGCTAAGGAAGGAAGGAGGAGAGACAACAAGAAATGACCTTGAAGTATGTGAGGAACTCAACAATGGATTCAAGGAAGTGTTCACAGAGGAGACAGAAGGGGCTCCAGAGAGACGGAGAGGTGGGGCACACCACCAAGTGCTGGACACAGTACACACAACCGAGGAAAATGTGAAGAGGCTTCTGAGTGAGCTAGATACCTAAAAGGCAATGGGGCCAGATAACATCTCTCCATGGGTCCTGAGTGAGGGAGCAGAGGCGCTATGTGTACCCCTAACAACAATATTCAATACATCTATCGAAACAGGGAGATTGCCTGAGGCATGGAAGACAGCAAATGTAGTCCCAATCTTTTAAAAAGGAGACAGACATGAAGCACTAAACTACAGACCAGTGTCACTGACATGTCTAGTATGCAAAGTCATGGAGAAGATTATCAGGAGAAGAGTGGTGGAACACCTAGAAAGGAATGATCTCATCAACAGCAGCCAACATGGTTTCAGGGACGGGAAATCCTGTGTCACAAACCTACTGAAGTTCTATGACATGGTGACAGCAGTAAGACAAGAGAGAGAGGTGTGGGTGGATTGCATTTTCTTGGAATGCAAGAAGGCGTTTGACACAGTTCCACACAAGAGATTAGTGCAAAAACTGGAGGACCAAGCAGAGATAACAGGGAAGGCACTACAATGGATCAGGGAATACTTGTCAGGAAGACAGCAGCGAGTCATGGTACGTGGCGAGGTGTCAGAGTGGGCACCTGTGACCAGCGGGGTCCCACAGGGGTCAGTCCTAGGGCCAGTGCTGTTTCTGGTATTTGTGAACGACATGACGGAATGAATAGACTCCGAAGTGTCCCTGTTTGCAGATGACATGAAGTTGATGAGAAGAATTCATTCGATCGAAGACCAGGCAGAACTACAAAGGGATCTGGACAGGCTGCAGACCTGGTCCAGCAATTGGCTCCTGGATTCCAACCCCACCAAGTGCAAAGTCATGAAGATTGGGGAAGGGCAAAGAAGACCGCAGACGGAGTACAGTCTAAGGGGCTAGAGACTACAAACCTCACTCAAGGAAAAAGATCTTTGGGTGAGTATAACACCAGGCACATCTCCTTAAGCGCACATCAACCAAATAACTGTCTGCAGTATATGGGCGCCTAGCAAACCTCAGAACAGCATTCCTACATCTTAATAAGGAATCGTACAGGACCCTGTACACCGTGTACAGGGAATGTGCCGCACCATTTTGGAACCCACACCTAGCCAAGCACGTAAAGAAACGAGAGAAAGTGTAAAGGTTTGCAACAAGACTAGTTCCAGAGCTAAGAGATATGTCCTACGAGGAGAGGTTAAGGGAAATCAACCTGACGACACTTGAGGACCGGAGAGATAGGTGGGACATGATAACGACATACAAAATACTGAGAGGAATTGACAAGGTGAACAAAGACAGGATGTTCCAGAGATTGGACACAACAACAAGGGGACACAGTTGGAAGTTGAAGACACAGATGAAACACAGGGATGTTAGGAAGTATTTCTTCAGCCACAGAGTAGTCAGGAAGTGGAATAGTTTGGGAAGCGATGTAGTGGAGGCAGGATCCATACATAGCTTTAAGTAGAGGTATGATAAAGTTCACGGTTCAGGGAGAGTGACTTAGTAGCGACCAGTGAAGAGGCGGGGCCAGGAGCTTGGACTCGACCCCTACAACCTCAACTAGGTAAGTACAACTAGGTGAGTACACACACACACATAAACTCACATGCCTCAGTAAGGAATCTTTCAAGACTGTGTACACCATTTACGTCAGGCCCATGGTGTAGAATGCAGCACCAGTTTGGAACCCACACATGGTCAAGCACATCAAGAAATTAGAGAAAGATCAAAAGTTTGCAAGAAGACTAGTCCCAGAGCTTAGGGGAATGACCTACGATGATAGGCTAAGGGAAATCGGCCTGATGACACTGGAAGGCAGGAGGATTAAGGGAGACATGACAACGACATATGAAATACTGCGAGGAATTGACAAGGTGGAGAAAGACAGGATGTTACAGGGATGGGAAACAGAAATAAGGGGTCACAATTGGAAGTTGAGGCGGGGCCAGGAGCTATGACTCGATCCCTGCAACTACAAAATTGTGAGTACACACACATGTTGACAAGTGCCTATGACGAAATGGTAACTACCTAAGACACACCTGACGTGACTACACGTCGTACACATCCTTGCTTGTGTAGTTACCAGGAGAAATAAACATAACCCGCCTAAAGGAGAGAGGAGCTTCCAACGACGTTTCGGTCCGACTTGGGCCATTTTCAAAATTACACTAAGAGAAAAGAGAGATGAAGCCGGTATATATAAGCGAACTTGCCTGTAAATGGTCAAAGTCGAACCGAAAAGTCGTGGTAAGCTTCTCTCTCCTATGTGCGAGTTATTTGTGTATTGTTCCAGTCACGGTATTGTGCGTTTTTGTTCTTCTACCAGGAGGAAATTAATGGTGGCAACAACAAGAAATATTTAGCGTTAATCTTCTCTTAACCTGTGAAGATGACTGTCTCTCTCTCCTCTCTCAGTTTTCTACCCGTCTGGTGGTCCTGGTTCCCCAGAGACCGATTTACCATTCTTCCTATTAGTTTCTAGCCAGTCAGGTTGCAATCACTGCCATAAGAGGACGGAGGACGGAGCCTCTACTACTCCTTTCGCTCTTTGACCTTCATAAGTGAAAACTTAGAAATATTCTAAAGCGGTTAAGGAAAAAATCATTCTTTGCCACTAAGCTGGTTGTCCTAAGAGACAAAGACTTTGTTTTATCCTAGAAGTAAGGTCACGGGAGCGAGGACGTCCTCTCAATTATTTACCTCCACTCTAAGTATATTTCCGGCTGAGAGAGAGGTTGAAAACATTACTAAATTTTCCTCTGTTAAATCAGCGATTTGTGTCGCTCGAGGTGATGCAGGTGTGTGTGTGTGTGTGTGTGTGTGTGTGTGTGTGTGTGTGTGTGTGTGTGTGTGTGTGTGTGTGTGTGTGTGTGTGTGTTTCTTTGCGTCTGTGAGAGAGAGAGAATAATAATGATGATTCCCTTAGTTAGTATTTCGTGTCTAAACTGAAATGTGAACTGTATGTATAGTTGTCCCAGATCAACGACTGACAGAAAAGAAGATAAAAAGAAGACTCTGGGTCTCATTCGACCTACTTTAAGAAGTAGGTCGAATGAGCTGTCTCACAAGTGGGGGAGAAATCAGAATGAAGACCCGTTACAAGTGGTGTACCTCAGGGATCATTGTTGTCAACTTGTTGTTCATGATCCACTTAAATGACATTGATGAGGGAATAAATAGCAACATTAGCAAGTTTGCTGATGACACTAAAATAGTCAGTCAAATAATTTTTGATTTGGACATTATAAAGCTACAGGATAACCTGGATAGATTGTTGTGGTCAGAGAAGTGGTAGATAATGATCACTGGAGACTAGTTTAGTGTTTTATCCTAGGAAAAGAAAATAGATTTGGTACTTAAAAGTTCAATAATGTAGCTCTTAATCAAAGTGAGTGCTAAAAGGATGTAGAGGCTCTGGATAGCAGAAATTTAAAGACAAGGCAACAGTGTATAAGTGTTCGCTATAAAGCTAATATTTTTTTTAACTTTATATCAAAATATTGAAAAAATAAGTCTTAAATATACTTTGGGCCATATACGCATTAGAAATCTTTCCTACGAAAACAGTTTGAAATACTAGTCATGGAGTTGGTCATGGGGGGCATTGACCCCTGGAACACCCTGCAGGTTACGCTGACCTTGCACTCTTTAGAGAGGTGTAGAAGTAGGGAAGATGTAACAGAGTGTACAAATTAAAATCAGGAATAAATAATGGGGGGATATAGTGTTAAAAAATCTAATCCAGACAGAACTCACTGATACTGATTCAAGATGGAGAAATTATGATTTAAAGGAGATATTAGGAAATATTGGTTTGGCAATAAAGTTGTGGATGAGTAGAACAAACTCCCAAGTAGCGTCACTGAGGTAAGAACAGGTACATGATGGGCAAGGACTGGTACTTGAGCGGGTGTGGGTGAGTGTGAGTTTGAGCTGCCTAGCATGGGCCAGTAGACCTACCGCCCATGCAAGGCATGGGCAGTAGGTCTACTGCTCTGTGTTCATCATTAAAATTTTTATTATGAGCCTAGAGAAAAGCTAAACTGCAGGAAATCATGAGGAACGATATGTAACTAGGCTTCACTCTAGGGAATGGTGGCTCCAATTTCTTGGCTCAAAAGTCCTTCATCAGCATCAAAACGCCCATCTTGAAGGGCCATGTAGAATCCTCCAATTTCATTAGAGCTTTTTTAATGACTGAACGTTTTGTCCAATTTTATTTTGATTATTCTGTTTTAGTTCGTGATAAGAGGACAGAAGATCGAGCCTTCACAATGCCCTGCGCTCAGTGAGTCACACAGGGCTTAGCGCTCAACAGAATAATGATGAACTTCCGGAAACAAGGTACACTAAGGTCAACTCCACTCTCTTATGTCCACAGACACTCCAAGACTCTCGCTAGCTGCCGGACTCAACCTGGACATGGAGGACATCAAAGAGGGAGTCGACGTGTACTTCGAGTGTGGCATCAAGGCTAACCCCAGAGTCTACAAGGTTCAGTGGTTCCATAATGTAAGTACATCAGTCCCAGAGCCTACAAGGTTCAATGGTTCCATAATGTGAGTACATCAGCCCAAGAGTCTACAATGTTCAGTGGTTCCATAATGTGAGTACACCTGCAGCAGAGTCTACAAGGTTCAGTGGTTCCATAATGTGAGTACATCAGCCCCAGAGTCTACAAGGTTCAGTGGTTCCATAATGTAAGTACACACTAAGGAAATAAGTAGTCAGATCTCTCGGTCAAGTATGTTAGTGCGTCCGAGTTAATTTGACCGAGTCACTCTGACTCGGTCTGTCCAGCTCAGTGTGTCTGGCTCTTTCTGTATTCCCAGAATTCGAAACGAGTAGTTCGCAGACATGAAGATTCAGATAACACTGATGTTTTAAATGTTTTTTTTAACAAGTTGGATTCAAATGGCGTACTGCAAACACTTTTGTAGGGCAAGCTTTCATTTTTGGGGGACAACAGCTTGGTAAAGCTTTACAGAAACGTAGTCCAAGTGAAAATTTATTCTGAAACGCGTTTCTTTTAGTCGCTGTTCGTTGTAAGTTTATAGATATTATTAAATTGATGGTTATGCGCTTAAAATGCACGGGTCATGCAGTGCCTGGGATATAGGAGATAATTAGGAATTACCAAAGAATTGGGTAATTTTAAGCATTTGGATAAAGTGCCTTTCACCAGCATCGTGGTACCGTCCTTACAGAGTCGTATTTTTCATGAAGTTATACATTCTTTATCGCAGACATGGAGCTGTTGTATGTTGTGATTCGTTTCCGGAATAAAAAAAAAGGCATCGGAGTTTAGACTGTTAAGAATGAATTGGTAAAGTTATACAGAAAATTTCGCGCGTTAGGAAACATTGGTGAAGGAGAAAAGTCTGCAAGACAGCTGTGACGAACTAAGAATACAGCGGCGTTGTTGCTGCAACTGTAACAGGTGGGCGGTATGGTACAGATACAAGTGTAGGGGAGCACAAATGAAGGTTATGTTGCAGGTGAAGGTTATGCTGCAGGTGAAGCTTATGCTGCAGGCGAAAGTTACGATGCACGTGAAGGTTATGTTGCAGGTGAAGGTTATGTTGCAGGTAAAGGTTATGGTGCAGGTAAAAATTAAGTTGCAGGTGAAGGTTATGTTGCAGGTGAAGGTTATGGGGATTATGAAGGTTATGTTGCAAGTGAAGCTTATGCTGCAAGTGAAGGTTATAGATTGAGACACTTATGCAGCATATGGGAATCTTTATTCAGGAAACGTTTCGCCACACAGTGGCTTCATCAGTCCAATACAAAGAGGAAGGCGTAAGGAGAGGAGGAGTATGAGGTAATCAGTCCCTCAGCCTGGAGTCGATGTGTTCAGTCCATCAATCTTGTAGAATCTTGTACGCCTTCCTCTTTGTATTGGACTGATGAAGCCACTGTGTGGCGAAACGTTTCCTGAATAAAGATTCCCATATGCTGCATAAGTGTCTCAATCTTCAACTTGTCGGTTTTTCAAACCATTCATCACAAGTGAAGGTTATGTTATAGGTGAAGGTTAATTTGTAGGTGATTATTTTCTTACAAGTGAAGATTATGTTGAAGATGAAGGTAATGTTGCCGGTGAATGTTATGCTGCAAGTGAAGGTTATATTGCAGGTGACTGTTATGTTGCAGGTCAAGGTTATGTTGCACGTGACGATTTTGTTGCAAGTGAAGGTTATGCTGCAGATGAAGGTTACGTTACAGGTGAAGTTTATGCTGCAGGCAAAGGATATGTTGGAAGTGAAGGTTATGTTGCAGGTGAAGGTTATGTTGCAGATGATGATTCTGTTGCAAGTGTAGGTTATGTTGCAGGTGAAGGTTATGTTGCAGGTGAAGGTTATGTTGGAGGTAAAGCTTATATTGCAGGTGATGATTTTGTTGGAAGTGAAGGTTAAGTTGCAGGTGAAGGTTATGTTGCAAGTGAAGGTTATGTTGCAGGTGATGATTTTGTTGCAAGTGAAGGTTAAGTTGCAGGTGAAGGTTATGTTGCAAGTGAAGGTTATGCTGCAGGTGAAGGTTATGCTGTAGGTGAAGATTACGTTGCAGATGAAGGTTATGTTGCAGGTGACGGTTATGCTGCAGGTGAATGTTATGTTGCAGGTGATGATTTTGTTGCAAGTGAAGGTTATGATGCAGGTGAAGGTTATGTTGCAGGTGAAGGTTATGTTACAAGTGAATGTCATGTTGTATGTGAAGGTTATGCTGCAGGTGAAGGTTATGTTGCAGGTGAAGATTATGTTGCAGGTGAAGGTTATGTTGCAGGTGAAGGTTGTGTTGCAGGTGAAGATTATGTTGCAGGTGAAGGTTATGCTACAGATGAATGCTATGTTGCAGGTGAAGGTTATGCTACAGGTGAAAGTTATGTTCGAAGTGAAGGTAATGTTTCGGGTGATAATTTTTTTGTGTGAAGGTTATATTGGAGTTGAAGGTTACGTTCGAGGTGAAGGTTATGTTGCAGGTGAAGGTTATGCTGTAGTTGAAGGTTATGTTGTAGGTGATGATTTTGTTGCAAGTGAAGGTTATTTTGTAGGTGAAGGTTATGTTACTGGTGAATTTTATGTTGCATGTCATGAATTTGTTGCAAATGAAGGTTATGGTGCAGGTGAAGGTTATGTTGGAGGTTAAAGTTATGGTGCAAGTGAAGGTTATGCTGCAGGTGAAGGTTATGTTGCAGGTAAAGGTTATTCTGCAGATGAAGGTTATGCTGCAGGTGAGGGTTATGCTGCAGGTAAAGGTTATGTAGCAGGTGAACGTTATATTACAGGTGATGATTTTGTTGCAAAAGAAGGTTATGTTGCAGGTGAAGGTTATGTTGCATGTAAAGGCTATAATTCATGTGAAGGTTATGTTGCAGGTAATGATTTTGTTGCAAGTAAATGTGATGTTGCAGGTGAAGGTTATGTAGCAGGTGAAGGTTATATTGTAGGTGATGATTTTGTTGCAAATGAAGGTTATGTTGCAGGTGAAGGTTATGTTGCATGTGAAGGTTAGGTTGCAGGTAATAATTTTGTTGCAAGTGAAGGATACCTTCAGGTGAAGGGTATGTTGCAGGTGAAGGTTAAGCTGCAGATGAAGGTTATGCAGCAAGTGAAGGTTATGTTGTAGGCGAAGGTTAGGCTGCAGGTGAAGGTTATGTTGTAGGTGAAGGTTATGTTCCAGGTGATAATTTTGTTGTAAGTGAAGGTTATTTTGTAGGTGAAGGTTATGTTGCAGGTGAAGGTTAGGCTGCAGGTGAAGGTTATGTTGTAGGTGAAGGTTAGGCTGCAGGTGAAGGTTATGTTGTAGGTGAAGGTTATGTTGCAGGTGATAATTTTGTTGGAAGTGAACGTTATGTTGCAGGTGAAGGTTATGTTGCAGGTGATGATTTTGTTGCAAGTGAAGGTTAAGTTGCAGGTGAAGGTTAGGCTGCAGGTGAAGGTTATGTTATAGGTGAAGGTTAGGCTGCAGGTGAAGGTTATGTTGTAGGTGAAGGTTATGTTGCAGGTGATAATTTTGTTGTAAGTGAAGGTTATTTTGTAGGTGAAGGTTATGTTGCAGGTGAAGGTTAGGCTGCAGGTTAAGGTTATGTTGTAGGTGAAGGTTAGGCTGCAGGTGAAGGTTATGTTGTAGGTGAAGGTTATGTTGCAGGTGATAATTTTGTTGTAAGTGAAGGTTATTTTGTAGGTGAAGGTTATGTTGCAGGTGAAGGTTAGGCTGCAGGTGAAGGTTATGTTGTAGGTGAAGGTTAGGCTGCAGGTGAAGGTTATTTTGCAGGTGAAGGTTATGTGGCAGGTGAAGGTTATGTTGCAGATGATGATTTTGTTGCAAGTGAGGGTTATGTTGCAGGTTAAGGTTATGTTGCAGGTGATGATTTTGTTGCAAGTGAAGGTTATGTTGCAGGTGAAGGTTATGTTGCAGGTGAAGGTTATGCTAGAGATGAAGGTTATGTTGCAGATGATGATTTTGTTGCAAGTGACTGTTATGTTGCAGGTGAAGGTTATGTTGCAGGTGATGATTTTGTTGCAAGTGAAGGTTATGTTGCATGTGAAGGTTATGTTGCAGGTGAAGGTTATGTTGCAGGTGAAGGTTATGTTGCAGATAATTTTGTTGCAAGTGAAGGTTATGTTGCAGGTGAAGGTTATGTTGCAGGTGATGATTTTGTTGCAAACGAAGGTTATGTTGCATGTGAAGGTTATGATGCAGGTAAAGGTTATGGTGCAGGTGATGATTTTCTTGCAAGTGAAGGTTATGCTGTACGTGAAGGTTAAGTTGCAGGTGCAGCTTATGGTGCACGTGAAGGTTATGTTGCAGGTGAAGGTCATGTTGCACGTGAAGGTTATGCTGCAGCTGAAGGTTATGCTGCAGGCGAAGGTTATATTGCAGGTGAAGGTTATGTTGCATGAGAAGGTTATATTACAGGTGATGATTTTGTTGCAAGTGAAGGTTATGTTGCAGGTGAAGGTTATGTAGCAGGCGAAGGTTATATAACAGATGATGACTTTTTTGCAAGTGAAGGTTATGTTGCAGGTGAAGGTCATGTTGCAGGGGATGGTTTTAATTCATGTGAAGGTTATGTTGCAGGTGATGCTTTTGTTGCAAGTGAACGTTATGTTGGAGGTGAAGGTTATTTTTCGAGTGAAGGTTTTAAATAACAGGTGAAGGTTATGCTGCAGATGAAGGATATGTTGCAAGTGGAGGTTATGTTGCAGGTGAAGGTTATGTTGCAGATGAAGGTTATGTTGCAGGTGACGATTATGCTGCAGGTGAATGTTATGTTGCAGGTGATGATTTTGTTGCAAGTAAAGGTTATGCTGCATGTGAAGATTATGTTGCAGGTGAAGGTTGTGCTGCAGGTGAAGGTTATGTTGCAGGAGAAGGTTATGCTGCAGGTGGCGATTATGCTGCAGGTGAAGGTTATGTTGCAGGTGAAGGTTGTGTTGCAGTTGAAGGTTATGATGCAGGTGAATTTTATGTTGAATGAGACGAATTTGTTGCAAATGAAGGTAATGTTG